GAGTAGGTAAATATAACATTCATTATATTTGTATCTATTTTATTGTTTAACAGAGACGCTAGGTATAAAAGTTAAAAAAGTATCTAAGCGGTGCGGAATAGGTGTGAAGCCTTAATTCCCGCAATTATGTCAATTTAATTTTATGTTTACTGCTTACATCATTTTATAAATAAGTAATAGTGATTTTTGATCTGGCCTCGTTATCTACTATTTAAAATAACCAAAGGTTATTAATCAAAACACGTAGTATTATAATTAATGTTATATAGTTTAACAAACTGAAATTTTTTTCATTTTCATTATTTAAAGAAAAATTAAATATGTGCATAAGTATGTAAACAGTGGCTTATTTATTTAATGGCTTCATGTCAGAAATGCTAACGGTGCAAAGCAGTTAAATTACATTAATCTGACATTTTTAAGCTATATATATATATACATGTAATAGTCTAAATATCAGATTTATTAATTAAGTATTTTTATTACGACAAATTTTGATGTAGTTATGTTTTCTTTTATTTGACTCACAACCTATATACTACAACAAAAGCAAATTTGACAACCCTAGCATTTTCTCTATTCACCCTTATGTCGTACCTATTAACCACGGATTCCCGGTATACAACGTGCAGTAACAATGGTGACTTTAATTTAAGACACATATAGGTTTGCCCATTTTCGTTTCATGAAGAAATTATATTTCCAATAAACTTTATTATTTACCGATTTATTTAAAATTTTTCAATTTAAGAGTTATTTTAACCTATCAAAATTATTTATGATTAATGGGCACTAGCCCTACCTTTGTGTTAAATCTAAATCATCATTACAGGGGCACGTTGTATAGAAATTAGAAACAGACTACTTTTTTCTAAAATACAATGAATTTGCATGTTTTTACTCGTTTGAAGTATTAGTATTCGATAAACTACAACAAGACTCACAACATTAAAGTGTTTTATTATCAGCTTATATACAATATAATTATATAAGAAAAACAGCGTAGAAGTTGAAAGTTGTGTCTATTCACCCCATTTTACGGTACATAAAACAAAAAATATATTCGTTCTTCTAGTGGGTAACCTGTTTCGGGGCTTACGAAATTCGATTCAGTCGGATTTGGCATTCGACAAATGGGAACTAGCCGTAAGTTATAAATAAAATTAATAGTCAGTCAAATTATCTATTTAACATTGCCGTTATCGCTATGAATAGAAAAAAAGTGAATAACCATGTTTAGACGCTATCGTATAATGTCGTGACCACATGGCTTATCAGCCATAATATAATTTTTTTGATTAGGCTTTATTATTGACAGCCAATATATTTGCAAGATAATGGTAATATATTAACACTCATATATTTATTACAGAGTTTGAGTTATGCCTCGGACCCTGATCGTATATTTTTAGCTTTCGGGATAAACTTGGAAATAAATTCCTTGGAATGATTATTGTCAATTTCGTATTGAACAAATTACGCAAATGGATAAAATAAGTTAGGCAATAATTTAGAATGTTCAGTGTGAGGTACAGATGCCATAATCTTGATATTACATAAAAGAACAAAAAAACCGATTTAAATATGAATTATATTAAGATAACAGATGAAAGATATAATATTGAGGACAAAAACTTGTCTAAGGCAGTTTTCACAAATCGCCATAGCTAGGTATAGCGCGCGCCATTTAAAACCAGTATTTTAAACAAGTTGATTTGCCGTGATTGCTGCACAATTTCATAAAAACAAATGTAAAGATAGCCTATCTTTACATTTTTAATTTTGAAATTCTACATGATAAAATAAATGAACATTGACATTGTCACTATTTATTGTCTATGTTTGCTCGATATTAAGTGTGTTTTTTTTTAATTGATGTTAGTTTCAACTTATAGAATCTCATAATATAATCGAATTTATCTCTAATAATGACAACTAAGTACTTGATTTTTTATATAAATACAAATATAATTTTCAAGTACGGTGCCTTAACAAATTATTTATTTTGCCACGTGCACAGTGGTGGACCGCCAAGCATACAATATATCCAATGATAATATTAATAATATTGTCCTCCCAACCGAGAGAGGCAGAGAAAGGGAGAGAGAAGTCGTTTGTACATGGCAGTATTATAGTGCACGAGTGTGTGCGCAAGCACAGGTGCACGGTGCACTCTATTCTTTCACTTTCATAGTCTAATATGTCGGCAATCTGACACAACCGATCAGACAGATCAGGCGCAGGACTAACGGCACTAAACACCGATAACTTCCTGACCTGCTGCTATTGAGAGTAATCCGTGATTCGAATCTGGAACCACATGAACTTAAGTCGCGTTTACGACCACTCAAGTACACGAAGTTGAAGACGAGGTCAACGAAGCAGGGTTTTGTTTCTGCGTCTGATCTCTGTCCGGTCGTGTTTGATTTGCCGCCCCATCGGACTATGAGAGTAAGGGAATAGAGACTGCACCTGTGCTTACGCACTCACTCGTGCGCAAGCACTTATAGTCTTGTCCTACACATATTTCCCGATAAGACTGACCGTCATGACAGGAATTTGGTCTGGAGGCTATTATTATTATAATAATGTAGTGTAAGTGACCTTCAAAAATCCAGAAACTTATCCCTATTCTATGATGGGACAGGGATAAAGAAATAGTAAAATAGTAACACCGGTTCAAATTTCATGAAATATTTTATAAGAATGAATGCTACATGATCCTCTACAGATACGATCGATCCAACAATATGACAACCGGCGCGAAGTGCTTCTGAATTGAAACGACGCGACGTCTCACCAAGTAGATAATGACAACCGGATAGGTGTATTACCCACGGATAAGACCGTCCGATGCCCGTATTGTCCATTGTGTTCGCATTCAGCATCACAAGTAAGGAATTAGGAATAATACCTAACACTTCCCTTGACATGATTCTCAAGTGACTATTGGTCAATCGTAATCTATCATACGCTAGTTGCTCCGTGGACATGTCTAGAGGGCCAGGAAGATGTATTTTTAATAATTGATGCTCCACGTTGATTCTGTCGGAATTAGCTGAATTACACAAATTATATACCTAAAGTTTAATTGCGATCAAATGTTGTACTCACGTTAAAGTTTTTTTTAAAATGTTGCGCTTTTTGTAGTTTTCCCTGCATTAAATTTTATCAAGTTTTTAAGTTTTATAAGTTTATTCACTCAATTTAACCAATTTTATTCCCGATTGTAAATTTTTGCAATTTCAAATACAGGCTTTATTGTCGCAATTTTAATTCATCTTCATATATTCATTATATAAATTCGTAGGTCGTAGCTTAGTACTCAAACCTGCCTTTTTAATCTGTGGCGCTAGGTCCAAATGCTATTCTTTCTACGAATAGCATTTGGACCTAGCGCCACAGATTAAAAACGTACGTCTAACGTCTTTCCATAAAAACGCAAACTGTTGGTTTCTAGAATTATTATCGTTCGCTCTGCCAAGTTTTTCGCCAACACGAATTTGGGTAGTGCGGCGGACATCTATCTATATTCTCTATTTAAAAAGTGAAGGGCAATGATGATGAGGATGAGGATGATGATGGTTTATGATTTGATATTGTTACCAATCATCATGTCCCCTCTGTTAAGGGATTTGAGCTATCTAACCGCTGTCCGAGTGGGGGTGTGCGGACCCCCGCCTCTGACTGCTTAACTCGTGTCGGTCGATGTCCTGGGCGGTAAAAACCGCGCAAGTACGCGGGTGTACGGTGTGTATGCGGTTTGTGCTGGACGCGCCCTATCCGTTATCTTACTTGTACATGTCCCATTTGGTGTGGGTGTAGTGTCAATGTTTGATGTGACATTTCCTTTCCCTAAAACTTTCTCGGAAATGAGAGGAAGCCTATGCCCAGCAGTGGGACGTGCATAGGCTGTAGCTACCAAGTTTGGAGGTTATTGCTGTAATCGCCAGGCATGGTGGATTGGTAACCGTCGTACTATATACCAGATCTCCCACCGTATACGTTGATCTAATATAGTCCACCCAATGTGTAGAAGCACACTGCGGATAAATTATGGGTGCAGCACAAATGGGTCGGCTCGGCCGGGGAAGCATCACGCTCTCACATAATACCAGAGTAAAATAGCAGATTAATGCTGCTGTGTTTCGAATGGTGAGTACAGAGAATCGAAGAGGGTTTTTAATCGTAAAAAGGCATTATATCTTAGTCCTCAGGGGGGACAACACATTTATACGTTGGTTTTTAATCAAGGATAAGTGTAGAAGTCTGTGGGCCACAGCATTCACTTACCATCAGGTGGACTGGGTGCTCGTTTTTCCCCTTATTCTATAATATAAAAAATATGGCCAAGATCATTAATCTCAATATTTAGAGTATGTCACTTTTCCCAGTATAGAATGCTAAGTTTACTAAGATTTACCCGACTTTACGGGGAAAAAACCGAAATTATGTGTGATAGTTCTTTCACGCTGTCACTACACAGTACAAAACACGTTAATTGGCATGTACTTTCAAGATAGCTTTTCTTTAATGATAAATCAAGTTTTCTAGAAAGCTGCCCATTTGCTGTAATCTTTTACGGCTTTGCATTTTATTACTAATGCAAGAAACGTGTGACTGCCATAAATTACCTAATTACGTTATTATTATAATATATACGTTATTAATAATTGGTAATTTTGAGCGATATTTAGATAATTGTATGTAGTTCCTATATTATCGAAGGTGCACATCATTTACATTTAGGTACTTAATATGTATACCTAATTGGGCCACCAGGATCTGCACGTAGTTAGAATTTTTTTCCAGGAATAGATGATAGGTTTTTAGATTATTAGATAAATTTGGAACATAAAACTTTATCTAATTCACAATTTCACCCAAATATGTTAGATCCGTTTCGGAGAAACTAGTTACATTATAATATTAAAAAGATATCACTTTATATCATTTGAAGATATTATTTAGATATAGAGAATAACAAAATCTATACTTACTCAGAACAGAGAAGTCCGTAATAACATCCATTTTCATAAAATCACTAATGTTTTTGTTTTCACTTTGAATGGGTGTTTCAATCTGTCACCCATTTCTTTTGGACTATTTTAGTTCACTAATCCGGTGAAACGCTTCACCTTTGCACTGATACATAATTAATCACATCACTTTGAATGCCGCAAAATTAGTATCACCACTTGCACATTTTTTCCTTGTTTGTATTTCAATTCAATGCGATACAATCGCAGTCGCAGAAGTATCACACTGGATTCATTCAACCCGTCGAATCAGTGCAGTCTCAAATGACTTTTTGTACGGAAACTCGTTTAAAGATATGATAACAATGTCGCACAAACTAAATAACTTTTAAATCCTATTTCACTTAATAATTTTTGTAATCAAACTACATTGTGCTATAAAATATTCCTAAAACTCCCACGACGTAAAAACAGAGACGAAACGTCACCCCAACTAAACAGGTTTTTGTTTTTTTTTCTTTTCTCATGAAACTGGTCTTACCACGTGATCAATTTGTTTCACGTAGTTCGACTTGGTGTCGCTAGATGACCCTGTAATCAAATATAAACTGAAGGAATGAAATTAAATTTTAGATTAAACACTTTATTTTTTAATATCAAACTAACCGTGAAAGGTTTATTGGCATTTAAAATTCCTTTGAAATAGAATTATTTTTTTATGTTGATTAAAACTTATGATAGCAATTCGCTAGAACTTTTATCGTTAATTCTGAGTTATTAAAAACAAAAAGTAACACAATAGGATGGTAACATGGAACGATGATCTTTCTTTTTCTTTCTTTCTTTTTTTTAAAACGTTACCCACACACTAGAATTTTCTCCTGTATCATGGAGGCAGTTTACAAATATATATTGCACAAGGACAAACATCCAGAACCGGAACAATTATTTGTAGACCATACAAATACTTGTTCCGTGCGGAACCCGCGGCTCTAAGCGTTGCAACTCATTGCTAAGCTACTACGCCACGGAGCCGTCATCAAAGGTTCATTTCCAGATAAATGTTACCGGAATATGAATTATAAAAATATTTAAAGAATTCGATAATATTTAGATTACCTACTACCTACTCCGAGACGGAACAAATGGCGACAGCGCTCTAGGCTAGCATCACATCGTCGCCCCTCTCGCGGCTATTTGTTATAAATTATAATAACTACGTATTTTTATATAATAACTACGTATTTTGCAAATAAACTATGCTATTTTTTATAGGATAGGGGTGATAAACGAGCACAGAGTCCACCTGATAGTAAGTGGTTGCTGTGGCACATAGACAAAAAAAGATGGAATGCCTCGGTTTCTAGTAAAAAGGGTCTCCGGTTCTCTACACTCACCATACGAAACACAGCAGCATTAAGCTGCTATTTTACGGTGGTATTCTGTGAGAGCGTGGTCCTTCCCCGGTCGGGCCGACCCATTCGTGTTACAACTATACCAGAAATATAGCTGCAGCATGGCCATACGACATAAAAATATAATATAGTTTAGTAACCCCCCAAAACATGAAAGCGGTGTTAAATAAAAATGTACCACAGTTTAGTACTAGCATCTAAAATCCTAGAAAATCTTTCACTGGGCATTTGCTCTGTACACCGCTCTCTACACCGCTCTCTACACCGCTCTGTACACACTATCTCAAGACGGCTAAGCCGACCTTGCTCTTTCTCACCAGTAGCGTTCTCTCTGGCTGATTTATTTATCTCACCCAGATTACAAACTGGAACACTCCTTTTTACCTCGGGCCGGAATTTGTGTGTACGGCAAAGAGGATATCTATTCTCGACGCCTCGGTAAAGGCTTGAAGGCAGGGGCCTTTACATCATCGGGGAGTGCTCAGAGGAATTGTTGGGATTATTACCAGCTCCTGAATTTCACCATCTTACACTGCGACAGAACTCAAAATTCCATTCTCATAATTTCAATGGTATGCGGTCCACTAATGCGGGATTTTCTGCCTCTCATGACCATACTGTGGTCATGGAGTGTGCAATTAGAGCCATGGTGTTGCGGATGTTAATGAGCGACGGTGATTACTTATCTACCATCAGGTGAGCCACACTTAATTTTTTTTTTCCTTTAAAACTTCCCCGCGCGCCCGATTGTAACCTTGCGCCCCTAGGCACGTGCCTAGTTTGCCTTAAGGATAATCCGCGACTGCTACTGCTAGATAAGGATAGCATTAACCGTTTTCTTACAATTTTTAGTTTGATTGGCCAATCTTTTTATGAAGAAGGCGTATGGAGTTTTTGCTATATATAAACTCATGAGCTACTATTAATTGAAAAAATATAGTTAATAAAATTGTAGCAACACTTATTGGCATTAATATAATTAAACAAAACATTTTTATGGTTGCTAATTGCTATCACTTGAACCTAAAGTTTCAATTTGGGTAAAAATTAGAAGTTTTATACGCCTTATTGAAATAATTGCTCTCTCATAGCAAATGTTAACTAAAATTATTTTAACTTCAACAAAACATATTATAAAACCGATAATATATTTTTAAGAACCTTCTGACAAATAATAGTTTGTTCATATTAGCATAAATGTAGTCTAACAATTGTAGGATTTAGATACTATCAAATTTGTACTTTAATTTCATATTTTAATTACACGTTTTGACGTGGTAGAGTCACGCTGCAGGTGTATGATTGCAGCGGGAATGGGTCGGCTCCGCCGGGGAAGCGCTATGCTCTCACAGAATACCGTCGTAAATATTGCTTTGCTACGTTTTGTGAGTGGACCTTAGTCCTCAGGGGTGATAACGCATCTGCATTTTGATTCGTAACCAAAAATCGATGTAAGTAGATGCTATAGTCCATAGCATCTACTTACTATCCGGTGGACTGTATACATGTTTGTAGCACATATTCTATTAAAATATAATATAAAAATAAATATCTTCTACACAAATCGGTTTTATCAAGCAAGTGAATACGACTTCAAATATACCATAATATATGAACAACTTTTTTAAACTACTGCTATTCTATCGTGAGGAAATCCTCATAGATACGAGTACATTCAATTCATAATGCTCTATATATAAATAGCTATATATATAAATTAGTACATTGGTTTAACGCCAACAATTTGCTCTTAAACGGCAATAAGACAAAATATATAAAACAATCGAATACCAATGTGCTCTTAAATGGGGAGAAGTTGAGTCTTGTGGATACCACTGTTTTTCTTCAAACTTCAATGGGGCCCCCATATATCTAAATTAGCAAGCACACTTAGTTCTACAGCATATGCTGTAAGAAAGATTAGAAGTCTCACAGATGTTGAGACAGCTAGGTTAGTGTATTTTAGTTACTTTCATAGCGTAATGTCTTACGGAATTTTGCTATGGGGTAATGCGACTGATATTGAAGCTATATTTGTTTTGCAAAAGAGAGCCGTACTGGCGATTTATAACCTAAATTGTAAAGAGTCCCTCAGGGAAAAATTTAAATAAATAAACATATTAATTTTGGCATCGCAATATATTTATAAAAATGTAATGTATGTAGGTACATAAAAACATAAATAGCTTTAATAAGAATAAGGATGTTCATACCTTAAACACTAGGAACAAACAAGCTTGTAATGCCAGTTACTAGACTCCACAGAATTAGTAATTCGTTTATGGGGCAATGTATACGCTTTTACAACAAAATCCCAGAACATGTTCAAAGTTTGTCAATAAACAAGTTTAAAAGTTTTATTAAAGAAAAATCTGTACAAAAGGGGTTATTATAATATTAAGGAATACAAGAATGAAAATAACCCCTGGGAATAAGGTGATCGCCACCATGCTGGTTCTATGAAAATTCATTTAAATTTATAAAAAACAAAATTATTGTTAAGTGAAATTATGTTTAAAAAAAAAGTCCCGCTGGGTTTCTTGCTGGTTCTTCTCAGGACAGAGGTATTTTCCGAACCAGTGGTCAATAAAAAATGAATATTGAATAAAAATCATTCTATTCTATTCCGCTGCGGGGACAATGAAAAGGTTATGCCGGCTAAAACCCCATGGTGGTAATCATCATATGCATCATATGAGAGATGATCGTCAAGGGGAGGGCCGTAACACACTGGTGACGTCGTCTCCGAGCGGAATCTGTTCTCTTCCGACACCACTCAGCAGACTCCTTCTGGGCCACAACGAACGGTTACGGCCCTGCACGCCGAGTCCCTGCACAGCATCGTCGACACAACTACTATCAAGGAGAAGTTATGATCGATAAAACTCACCAGTCTGCTCCCATTTTCACGCTGGATATGTTGCCAGCGTATGGGATGCGGAGGATGTAAAGCTGTTGCTGGTGATTAAAATATAAGATGAAATAAAATATGCATATATATATAATAAGAAAATAAGAAAATTGGGAGATAAGTCACTCGCGTCCGTAGGCTTAGACCACCTAATCCTAGGCCCACCCTACACGTATCCCCCGGGTGGTGCTAAACAAGCGACAAAGTCGAAAGAACAGACTCGGCTCCTCGCCGTGTGGTAGCGGCGTAAAAAATACCATCCCTACTTTCGCACCATGAGGCAAAACAATTATGAAATGGCTCCGAGTTGCCGGCGCCCCTTTAATGGGGCAGGGGTGCGAAGAATCTGCGGGAGGAAAACCGTCGACGAGGTTCGCCACCCGTCACGTTCTGTCCCCCGGAGGGGCGAAAAGTGGATTATGGAGGCCCGTCTGGCTACGTTGAATGTATGTGGAGCAATGAATGATAAGATGGATGAAGTATGCGATATGATGTATGATAGAGGAATAGACGTGTTATGTGTAAATGAGACGAAACGGAAGGGAAAGTATGCCACTACACATGGCATGTTTACCGCGTACTGGTCTGGTGTAGACGAGACCGAGCGGGCATGCCAGGGAGTCGGTATTATCCTTTCAGAAAGAATGGGTCATTGTGTGAAAGAGTATGAATGTGTAAGCCCGAGACTGCTATGGATACGAATGAAAGTGAGCTTAAAGAAGTTGTTTGTTCTAGGGGTCTACGCCCCAGACATGTCTAAGCCCACTTATATCCGAGAGCAGTTTTGGGAGTTGGTAAGGATGATGCTAATGAAATGCAAGGGTAATGAAAATATTGTGATATTACGAGATTTTAATGGAAGGGTTGGGGTGAGGAGGCTTGGTTATGAAAGGATATTGGGAATGTTTGGTGATGAAAGTATAAATGAGAATGGTGAAAGCCTCCTCACCGTATGTGTGGAAAAGCATATTTTTGTGACGAACACTTTCTTTCGTCAAAAGAAGATTCATACGTATAAATCGGAAAGAGGTGATGATAGAAGCGTGATAGATTTCATAATTGTTGATGAAAGAGTGAGGAGCGCGGTGGTGGATTCAAGGGTTTACTGGGGGTCTAACGTAGGGACGGACCATTATCTGGTCTTATGCCGAATTAATGATCTTT